GTTACAGTTTTAAATAATGTGCTATTTTCTTTTTAACAAAACAGAAACAAGGAATCACGGTTGATTAAGTTTTTCTGAAAAATACTTTATTTCAAAGTGTAGCCAAACCGAGAAATTTATAAAAAAAATCAGATCATAAAACGATTGTAATACATTATTACTGGTATAAGATAATTAAAAACGGTTAATACAAAATCATTTAAAAGAATAGAAAACACGTAGCAAAAACTAAGGGTATTAAAAAAATTGAATTCAATAATACTTTATACGGTTGGTAGATAAAAAAAACAACAATAAAAAACATGCCACGTGCTCTGTCTCGTAAGTAATACAAAAGCCTTTGGTTTAATTAACTCTTGCTCGATAAAGGTAGATCTTAATTGTTTAGCAGGATTGTGTATATTTAGAGACAAACGTTTACTCACGATTTTATTTTACGACAAAAATGTACGTTTTCTTTCTCCTCAAACGATTTTAAAAAATAATAATCAGTAAATGTGCTTGTCAAAATTCATTGCTTACTACGTAGCTTTTTTTGATTGATCTTTTTCTTCTCATACGCTAAACTCGAGCTAATATTTCAAAAGCTAGAAATTAGAACACGTAATAAAATGGGAACCGATTAAGTCTCAATCTAACATCAAATACAAAATATCGATCTCTGGAACAGTAAAACCATTTTACAGAATCATGCCCCCACGCCTTTTCAGACACAACTCTCCCCCTTGTTAAAATATTCCGGATGAAACGCCTCCTGGCGGAATTCTAGTGCGTACTGGTACTTTCTCAGGAGTCGTTTGTTTATCGTCATCAGTCTGATCTTCTGAATCTGTGACATTACAAAAAAAACAACAACTTTATTTCGTTTTGAACACGAGAACAGATATCGTTCGTAACAATGTTTTTACAGGGCATCCTAAGTGGACAAAAACTTTATCAGAAAACTAAAAAAATTAAAATCTAATGAAGTGTTCTCATGATCAAAATTTATTTTTTTAACGTAATAAACATTTTCTTCGCCTTGAATCCTAGAAAAGTGTTAATGCTGTTTTTTTGTTGTTTTTGTTGTTGTTGTTTATACATACCCTGGAGAACAATAAGGGTTTCAAGGACTCAAATATTTGTGTAGGTGGCGCCACATCAGGTAAAAATATCAATGCTGCAGATGTAGATTATGATTCAAAAAAATAAGATAAAATAATGAACTCAAATCATGCATTATATTCAACTATGTATATTCATTTACATTGTAAAAATAATATACTGACTTTAATTTTCAGCCTAAATAAGTTTTACTTATCTTGTTGAGGTTATTTATTTGATGATGTCTAACCATTTACATGTAATAATTGTTCCTTGTGTTATATTGGATCGCCCACAAGATGGCTACAAACTCGCGTGAGCAAGCATGCAAATAGCGGGTTCCAAGCGAACTATTTTGGATCACACCTTAGTGAGGATATCGTAGTTGTTTATCTAAATTATTTTCAGATCTAAGTTAAATTCGTTGCTTAAAGTAGTCTCCGAGTGAAAGTTGAACAGATTAAAACTCAGCTTAGCTATGAGTTTACTGCTTTAGCCCTAATATTTTAATGAAAAGTTTAAAGCTATGGTGTCATCCTTGAACATTGTATCGAGATACTCTCGTCAACAGCACATATACACATGACTATTTGTTAAGGTGATCACTAGAAAGCTTTCATTTTGAATTGGATAATATTAAGAACTTTCAGGATGCCCCTCTAACCTTTCTCGATAATAACAACTTCGCTAAACATTGTCGATATGTTCCAGGCCAAAGGAATATAGGCATGTAGAGAATAACAACTTCGCTGAACAATATGAACCACAGCGGTTAGGTGTCTGGAATATGAACCACATTGGTTAGGTGTCTGGAATATGAACCAAATTGGTTAGGTGTCTGGAATATGAACCAAATTGGTTAGGTGTCTGGAATATAAACCACAGTGGTAAGGTGTCTGGAATATGAACCACAGTGGTTAGGTGTCTGGAATATGAACCACAGTGGTAAGGTGTCTGGAATATGAACCACAGTGGTAAGGTGTCTGGAATATGAACCACGGTAGTTAGGTGTCTGGAATAAACCACAGTGGTTAGGTGTCTGGAATATGAACCACAGTGGTTAGGTGTCTGGAATATTAATCACAATGGTTAGGAATATGAATACAAGGGTTCGTGGTTCGCATTCCATTATCGCAAAATCGCGCTATGTGCTTTAGGGTTGCGTGTATGTGCTATAAGAGTGACAGTCATATCCCACTGTGTTCGGTCAGAGAACAGTAGCCCAAGGCGGAGAGTGCTGTTGATAGTATGCTATCAGGACACCCCATTTTATTAAAAATCCAAAATAACCTTAATTTTGTGTGAAAAATCGAAATCTTTTAAAAATCTTTTATCTGTGTAAACGAAAACCAAAATCATTCATTTATCGATATAGTTAAAATGTACTTGCCATTCTTTTTGGAGTTTGGGGTTTCATTCAAACTTTCTTCTTCAGAAAATATATTGGATTTTAGGCGATCAACTATCTTCCTTGGTGAATTGTCTTCTTCTGGAGGTCCAAACAGTCGACTCTGACTGTCACCGCTTTGATTTTGTCGTCTTGATTGGGGTGATGGAGTAATATCGCCATCTTGACTGAAGATTCTCGACTGCATTAGATTTTTAACTACATGCGGACTTGGAGTTTGATGCTCTACTTCACCATTTGCGGTACCAAAGATGTCGCTACTCTCTCCACCTGGTGGCTGACGAACTCTGCACGTCATAGAAAGTAAGGTAAGAATTGTTGAAAACAAAATTCTTGTGGGAAATTGTCTAAATATTCTTTATCGGGTTAAATGGATTATTATAAAAGTGGATAAATTCATCACGTCAGACGATCATCTTATTTGCTATGATGAATCAGCTTACAAATAAATCTAAATTGTTCTTTCGAAGGATAAAAAATAACATGGTATTTATTGACATAAAGTAGTCCTAGAGAAAATAAACTTGTAAAATTCACTTAACAAGAAACTACAAGTTTTTAAAATTAAAATACTGTTACGTCTCCGTTTGTTAATTGATTTTTTCCGTAACTTCGTTCCGACGAAACTTTAACGACACAAGTCCTTACTTAATAAA